GACTGTTTCTGCTGCTGTGTGATAGCTACAAATAGTAGCCCTGAATGTGTGGAGAAGCTCGGTGTGTACTGCCGCAGAGCAGAGATACCGGTAAATCTATTATTCATGTGTGACAGTGTTTCTCTGCAGGCTTGTTGAGTTAGCAGATATGTTAAGCTACAATAGAGGCTACATTGTGTCCTACTACAGTTCAGAGCCTCAGTTCTGGCAAAGTAACAGCACAAAAGAAAGTCAAAACTGCTTAATAATAAATGGAAACCCACAATTTTGATGGTGATGAATGGTGATGAAAGCAGGTAAAAAAAAAATCTGTAAAACGGTTAATAATTTAATATTTTGAACATTTTTTGGGTTCTAAAACTCAAAGAATTAAGTTTTTAGTAGAAGGTTTTAAGTAGAAAAGTAAATTACATCAACAGAAGATTATAGGTTAGCAACTAAACTTCAAGTTCTGACTTAAAACTTTGCCTTGAAATGATGTGTTTTCTCAACTTTTTTTTTAACAGTGCACCAGGAAACCTGACACATTACTTTTTATAAATATAAAGGAATCACTAATTAAACTAACTAAAGAATTTGTTGAAGGTTTATAAAGTTTCCCATGACTCAAGAACTGACAGTTCTGTTATTTTTCAAGGGAGTCTGGGGCTGATTTTCCAAGACTCGAATGGCTTTAACTGTTATTATTGAGTGAATCTGTTATTTATTAGTTTTGAAAAGAATGTGCACTATATTCAGTTCTGGTCGCGTCATGATACAATTATCCTAACTAACCCAGTAAACAAATACTTAGTTGGATTGAAATCAAATATTTTTTTATGCTTAAACTGTTTGAGTTAAAACACTTAAATCATATAAGGCAATTGCTTAGTTTGAGTAAAACTAACGGATTTTTATTGTTTGCTCAATGTTTAGATTTCATCTGACAAGATACAACAAAAGCTAACAACATGTAGCAAATTCAGAAGGATATGAGATATTCTGTGGCCTACCCAGCTCTATGGTTCCTCCTATGCCGATCAAGGAAGCAGCACTGTGGTAGAGTGGCAGAGGGATGTACATCACATCATCTTTAGTCGCCCCAAACGCCCAAAAACCAGCTGCTGCCTTCAAGCTCTGGAGGTGAGTGATCACTGCGGCCTTAGGGAGCCCTGTGAAAATGAAGACATAATGCTGCATTACATAATACAATGAAAAATAAACATTTGATTCTTTCTATCCTGGTAAATCCAATGTTAGCATCAGCCAGGAGTACATAGCCATGTGTGACCTATGACAATGCAACACAATGTCATGCAATGCTGCATTTGAGTTGTGATTCTATAGCAATATAGTCAAGTACAGTCAGTCAGTCGTCACCCATTCAGTCCTGTCAAGATGCCAATGACACTAAACCACCAGATGCTCCTTCTCTCTGGGTTTCCCCCCCCCGCGTTTTAAAAGGTCCCTCTCTGTTTTAAAGGCCCTCTTCAGGTCACAGTGATGCGCATGTGATAGAGACGGTGAAGACAGCAGAATTAGCTGAAGTCAAAGCATTACTGTTCTGACAGACGGCTGCAACTGTTAGAAACAAGCTTTTAGTGTCTTTCTGCAAAGCCTGATCTCACGGTAAATTCAGACAATTATTTATGAAATAGCAGTCTATAATTAGCCAGTATATGGATGCTTGTATCGAGCCAGTTTTCATGGTAAAGTGAGACAACCACTAGAACTGTGACCAAAATATTCAAACCAAACCACAGTCCCACTGTGTGTGTGAGTGTGTAACATTTAGAAGGATCTATCTCTTTCTGTCAGAAAATTGAATATAATATTCATGTTTTCATTAGTGTCACCTGAATATAAGAATCATTGCGTTTTAATAAAAATAAAACACTGGCTGTAGACAGGGCCTTTTGCATTTTTGAAGTTTTGCTGCCACTTGCACTTGATTGAGTCTATGGGTTTCACTTGGTTGTAATCTGCAATCTCACCACTAGATACCATTAAATACTAGACACTGGTCCTTTAAAAATGAAACTACCAACTCTCACTCCTAACTCGTCGAATACTGCTGCTTGGTCAGTGGCCCTCTGCTTCAAAACATGATGCTGTAGGCTGACATGGACAAATTTCTAGATGAGCAGGGCTCGCGGTCCAGTTAGCAACAAAAATACGTAATGTCTGCAACTTCCAGTCACATTAGCAATAAGAAATATGCAACCTCCTGTTATGCTTTTAAAAAAAAAGCTTACGTGGTTATGAAACAGTCCACTATGTCTTTGTACAGTGCAGCACTTGGTGTTATTTTTGACATTTTACATACTATAAACAGCTCAAACACTGAAAGGATTAGACAGGGGAGTAGTCTAGTATGCCCAGGAGAAACTGGAGGAGTCCTCTGGGAACTGCTCTGTTTACCCTGTTACCAACACAACCGTGATACACACAGGTAGCTACAGTGCCTTGCGAAAGTATTCGGCCCCCTTGAACTTTTCAACCTTTTGACACATTTCAGGCTTCAAACATAAAGATATAAAATTTTTATTTTTTGTGAAGAATCACCAACAAGTGGGACACAATTGTGAAGTGGAACGAAATTCTATATGGATATTTTGAACTTTTTAACTAAATAGAAAAAAATGAAACACGTGGGGCGTGCAAATTATTTGGCTCCCCTATGCGTTAAACTTTGTAGGCCACTTTCTGCGATTACAGCTGCAAGCCTTGGGGTATGTCTCTATCAGTATTTTGCACATCGAGATGACTGAAATCTTGCCATTCTTCTTGCAAAACAGCTCGAGCTCAGTGAATTGGATGGAGGAGCGTTGTGAACAGCAGTTTTCCAGGCTCTTTCCACATGATTTCTCGATTGATAGCAGTTGGACTTTAGACTTGGCATATCTAAACACACGATACGTTTAATTTTGTAAACCATTACCTTTGTAGATTTGCTGTTAATGTTTGGAATCATGTGTCTTGTTTGAAGATAAATCTCCGTCCCAGTTTCAGGGTTTTTGCAGACTTCCATACAGTGTTTCATCCAGAATGGTCCTGTTATTTTGGCTGCATCCATCTTTCCCTCAATATTTAAACACCATCTTCCATGGTCCCTGCTGAAGAAAAGCAGGCCCAAAACCATTTGTTATTGCTAGGTGTAGAGAGACATACCACTTTTTTACGCAAGGTGGAGATGGTTTTGTGATAATGGGTGTATAGCTGTGGATAGAAGCTTTTGTTCAAACGCATGTCAACAATAAATATGTTACTTTCAATT